AGTAGTAGTTAGTAGTAGTAGTAGAAGTTAGTAGTAGTAGTAGTAGTAGTAGTAGTAGTAGTAGTAGTAGTAGTTCCTGCGGACCCCATCTACTTATGATAGTATATACCCGTGAAGCTGGAGGTAAGACTGATATGATGGTCGAAGGACCGGGATTTCAGATCTGGTCTCGTAGTAACATAGGGGCATGAACACTTGTGTAATTATATGTATATACTGTATGTTGCAGTAGAGCTATGACTAGCTACTCGCACCCTGTTATCATGTGCAGTATATTGTTACAGGTTTACCGACTGCATGTGCGAGTTCATGCTGGTCGTCGCCATTCACCCTAATGTCACACCTGCTGCTGCGCCTTCTAGCTCAATCTCTCCCCTCGAAAGGAGATGTGTAAACCCTCAACGGTAACCGTATCTCTTTGAATGCTCAACAAGCATCTCTGAAAGTAGTGATAGAGGCCCTGGGACCCAAACCGCACGACAAAATCCAAGCTCTCGTAGTAGTAGTAGTAGTAGTAGTAGTAGTAGTAGTAGTAGTAGTGGTGTGCACCTGTCACTTTAAGTCCAAGGACTCACGTGCACACGCCCTGAAAGCAAGGAGGGCATTTGAAGGACAACGAGCCAGTATACATAGCCCCAACAAGCCTTTGCAGCCGTCAGACTGAAGCAATCTTTTCTGCAGCAAGCGGAATTTGAAAGGTCATTGTCTTGCGTTTTGATGAGTTTAAGCTGCATGTAGCATTCAAGAGCTTTGCGTGAGGAAGTGATTCCGGACGCCCGTCAGCGTGCGGAGGTTGGGATTGCCATGATTTGCTTTGTGAACAGCACCCACCGCAACAGGTGGCATTGGTCGGAAGTCCCCTGACCCACAAACGCTTTCTTCGCCGCGCGGTGCCTTGGCCAAGCTGAGCAATGCGAAGCAACTTAGCTTTGATGGGTCTTACGGCCCTCGCTCAGAGTGGAGTGCAGGCCGGCACCTACGGGCCAGCTCCCGTCTTCGGCCGCTTTGGCCCTGGCCAGGCACTGCAGAGCGGCACATGCGTTGTGCAAAAGAGGGATGCCGAACCATGGTGAGCACAGGGACGGCATGCATGTGTCATTCGATTCCAGGTTCCTTTCCGCACCGCAGGCGACGCCTTGCTGGAAGCCCCGGAAAGGCACGACGCTCGCAAAACACCAACCCGAGTCGCGCCGAGGCCTCGCAACCGACAGAGCCCCGAGGAGCGCCGCTGTGTGTCGCTGTGTGTATGTAAATGAGGCCGGCAGCTCTCAGAGGCAGAAACCCCTTTTGCATCAGTGTCTTTTCTGCTCGTGTCACCTTTCGGTTACATACCGGGTCCCCGCTCGTATATGCATATCCAGCACCTTACGATGACCATTAAAACATCAGTTTACTAGTAACATTGATTGCTATTGCTAGTGTACTATGACTGTTGCTATTCTTTGACTGTTCACCATTACTAAAACCAAGTCTCTTGCTATTGCTAGTGCTATTCGGACCAGTTACGATTACTCTGAATATTGTTGCTTCTATTGCTTTTACAGGTGAAACCACTGTTGCACTATTACTAGTGCTGCTGCTAGTACATGCACTACGACTATTAGTATCTTTGCTATTTTTGCTATTGCGACATTTACGACCTAGTAGTGCTGGAACTGTGACTGGGGCACATCTAATTCCACTCGTTTTTTTTGTTCTTCTTTTCTGCAGCAGCGGCTATGGGGTCTACAATCTGTAAAGCAGAGGCACGGTGACTAAGTTTCGGAATACGAGCTCCCGACAGCGTGCGAGATGTGTGTGCGCACGTGATTGTGGAAGCTGAAACCGGTGTCCGGCACAAACTTTCATCTATCTTCGCGGCGGCGCCAGATCGCCGCGTCTTCGCATGAACATGGAGAGAGAACGCAGCACTCTTTTCGCAGAACAGGTTTCTTTGCACACGGAGAGATCCAAGTGTGCTCGGGGCAGTCTTTTCGCATGAACAGGCCTGTTTGCGCATGGAGAGTACCATCGCATGACGTCTCTTTGCCTGCGGTGAGATCCAAGCGTGCTCGCGGCCCTGCCGTGCGTCGCGGATGCAAGGAAGAAGTCGAACGTTTTGGAAAAGAACTCGACCCCCACCTTCTACTGCAGGTTCGCTCTTGCAATCGGGTCCGTAAACTGCCGGATGCATTGATAATCTCTACCTCTGAATGTGAGAGAATGAGAGACAGAGAAAGAGCGAGAGCGAGAGAGAAAACGCGAGCGCTTCGCATGTTCTTGTTGAGAAACTGCTTGGCGGAAGTGCTTCCGTCAGGTATGCAGTTCGTACCGCAACACAAGCACATGCGACGAGATCATATCTTGCTCCGTACGGACGTTAGAAATTCGGCACACTGCTGCGTTCGCTGTTCAGCGACACGCTTCGGAAGGGCTAGGTGCTTAAGCCAAGGCCAGATATACGGCTAAAACATGCATCCGGGAAGCTGCTTGCTGCGCGAGCACACATCTCAACAGGCCACAACTTCAGAACGACTAACCCAAATTGGACCAACTCGTGTGCTATGCCATCGCTGCTGGGGTTTGTTGCTGATTTAAATAATGCAATTGCTATCGCGATCATTGTGGTTCTTATTCTGATTATGGTGGCAGGATGACATGCAACCAAAACAGACCCTCAGTATTTTCCTCGTATCCCTCGAGAGTGTCTTCCTGCTCCGATGCTCTTGATGCCAAAAACCCAATGCCGCAGATTGAATATTGTTCTGAGGAGTTGGGTGTTGACCGTTTGCTACTCTGTGGCGACTCCACATTTCCGGCTCCGTGGCTGAGGGGCTCAGAGACTTAGACTAGGCTTGTGGTGAGGAGTACACAATTCTAGGTCTGCTTTGCATCGCAGCTTGAGGAGGAAGGCTTAACAGCTGAACTTTTTTTGTACTGCTATCAACACGGAGCGTCGCTTTGCCTCAGGGCATTGGCGTGCCTGCTGCAGTAGTCTCGGGCCTCTCTGCAGCACACACAGCCTCTCGGTTACAAGAGATTTCGATTCTGCGTGTACTTTACACTTAGACAAACCGCTGCAGACGATGAGTGTGTGGGACCACCTGGAGCTTCTGGGGCGTGCTGGCTACTGAGGGTGCAATTGTACCTGAATCGTTTCACGTGACAGGTATAAAAAGCTGATGTGATGAGGGCTGGTGCGTGCAGCATGATTGAACTGAAGAAGAAGATTGCGCAAATAGCCTATGCCTTCCGGTGCGGAAGACTTCTGACGCAGCAAATAGCCTTTGCAAAGAGTTGAACTGAATTCACGATGCCTTTCAGACTCCTGAGTGAAGTTGTAGCAAGGTACTAGGGCTGATCGGGTAGTTTGCCTTGTGATCGAAGGAATGTTTCGGCTTTATGATTTGCTAGTCGCACAGCCCTCTGTATTGGCTTGCTTGTTCTTTGGGATTCCTTGGTCCTTATCGCATAATCGCATAAGTATGTGTTTATGCGAAAGGGTGGGTGAGCCACGACAACACTTGCAGCGCCACCACCCACCCCAAGCAGCCGGACATCGCCTTCAAAGTGAAAGCTGCAGTGGTTTGGAAGTTTCTGGCTCTTGGGGCAGCCTTGCCGAAAAGCAACGAAGCGAACTGTTTTTGGGGCTTTCTAAGACTCTGGATCCTGCAGCGACCAGAAAAGAATTGTGACCATGAAGTGTCGAGAACAAGATAATTTTGTACCTGCCCTTCCCATCTTCCTTTTGCTTGTATTCCCTTTACTTCCCCTCCTTACAACAAGACCACATGGTCTTGTTGTGTGAGCGTAATGCACCGATTTCCTTGGCCGGAGACGTTTGGTTCAAGTCGTGTAGCACAGGAAGCTCTGGGACAGACTTGCGCCATGCAGCTCTCCAAGTTCTTTCTCTGCTGCCTGGTTTTGGAGGCTCGCGGCGCTGATCTTCTCTGCCAGGAGCTAGTCCCACTGGCAAGCGCAGCGTGCTGAGATCTTGCGGCTGTGTCTACGCAGGACGCCGAGCCTCAAGCTCCGCGGGATGTCAGTCCGGGCTATGTTGGCGAGAGGATCACGAGGCCTCGAAAGGTGGGCCGACGTCTTCGGCTGCAGCTCTGGTCTGCTTTTGAGGTACGAGCCCTACGGCTCCGACCAGATCGACAGGCACGACGGCAGCGCACTGCTTTTTGAGGTTCCTGCTCTTCGTCTTCTGTCTTGAGGTTCGAGCAGGTGAACATCCACTGGCATCTGGGGGCCGAGCACCGCATGGCGGACGCGTATGATAGGCGGCCTCCGGAGTGGGTGCCCTGGCTGCACCGTGGGCTTATGAGCGTGTCGCCACAGAAACAGCTGTCGAGAAGGCGAGCTACGTTACGGTGTTGGATGAGAACAACGTTTCGCAGCCGGTCGTCCCCGGCTTGTGGTGTCCCACAGACGGCCTCGAGGCTGTACTGTTTTCGGGTTGAGGGTGCAAGCAAGGGGTCGCATGTGGCACTTGAGGTATTGACGACACCAAGCTGGACGAATCCTCCTTCAACTTCACTTACTGCAAAGCTGCACAAGTCGGTGGCACGTGCCCCCCAACCCCACCCCCCCTTCTCCCTCAACTTTTGTGGGGGTGAAGCGGCAAGTTCAG